TATATATATATATATATATATATATATATATATATAAAGCTTAAATTACTGTTGACTAGCATTTTCGGCAGTAATAAAACTGAGTTATTGTAATTGTCCACTGAACAGAATAGGAAATTTCCAAACTAGTATTGATCGAAGATCTTTTAAGTGCGGGTAATGAAAAATGGAGTCAATTTAGGAGAGTGCCAATAATAAGTGCATAATGGGATTGATGCTGCCTAAAACTTAGCTAAGTTGAATTTATAAGCATTGCGTCGTGTCTTCGTTAAATTTACCTCAACATGCCCACAAATTCATGCATGAGGCTGCTTTGTAACCATTCATTTCGTCATTAGTCGATAAATTTGCGGCCCCCTCCAGTCACTGTTAATTGGTTTAGACAAAGCATACTCACACTTGACATAACACCAGAGACTGCAGCTCAATTGAGATTGGGGTAAATTTCCTCAAAATATTCACCTTCGTGCATTCAGAATTATAACGAATTTTAAAATTATTGAATGCCTATTGCAATAAGACCAACATTGATTATTTTGGGAAATTATTTAAAAGTAGTATGGTCTTAGCGTACTTTATTATGTCTCGGAGACAAATTTATCTGCCAACATTTGAAGACGAGACAAAAAATAAACTATCGCAAATGCTCCGCTTGGTGACCGGTTTGATTTTAGAACTCATGCTTAGGAGAGAAAAAACTTCTGGATTATTACTGCGAGCTTTCGATAATTGTCTTGTTCTCTCTCATTTGATAAAAGAATTTTAATAAAATTCGTAAAATTTCATAAAATGGAAAATATTTCTCAGAAAGCTTTCTATTTCATGTTTAAATAGTGTTAGTACAAATACTCTGACTTCTGTAGCAATCGAATAGTTAATTTTTGGAATATTTAATTGCTTGACCAATATTTAAGTCATGATGCATAAGGAATTGTCCATTATTTGACGAATTTGGTAGATTTGTAGTATTTTCTATTTTCGCATTACCCCATGTCAATCACTTTTAATGTCAACCCTTCACACTTACTAATTAGCCAAAACAATATTCGCAATTATTATTATTATTTAAAATGGAAGGATTTGTGATATTTATCATTAGCCCTTAAACTTTGACTTCAGCTTCCCCCAAGGGTGGGGGGTACATTTATAGCAGTTACTTAATAGCAATTTATTAGCTGTCTCCTTGCTTCCCAGTATCTTTGGCTTTCCGTCGTTGTCTTTAGGGCTGGACATCGAATCAGGTGAGTCTTCTCCATTTCCTCCTGTAGGTTACATAGGGGGGGGCATGTGGGTTGAGTGTATACTCCCAATCTGTGAAGGTGTTTTCCCAAGCAATCGTGTCCGGTACGTAGTCTAAACTCAGCAACGGCTTCGATTCTTGGCCAGTCGGCTATGTCGGAGAGTGCCACTGTCCACTGTTTCTCCTTTGTTCGAGCTTTAAGTTCGTTGCACCTTGAGGTCTGGAATTCTCTTCTGATTAAGGCCTTCATTGTGTGGAAAGACATCGGCCGGTCCATGCATTGCAAAATCGTTGTCCCCTTCTTAGCAAGTGTGTCAGCAAGCTCATTGCCTTTAATGGCACTGTGACCAGGAATCCATTGTAAGACCACTGTTTTGTTTTTCTCTCTCAGCAGCCCATAGAGTTTTCTACATTCCTTAATCTCAGCTGTTTTGGGTGGCTCTCTGTTTCCAATAGAGTTTATTGCTGACTGTGAGTCCGAAAGTATCACCACTTTGGTGAATTTCGTATCCAGGCAACATAATTGGCATAGTGCTATCCTAATGGTCACTATATCTCCTTCCATAGCGGATCTATTGTGTCCCGCTGCTGCGTAGACACTTGTACCAGTGTTTGCTTTGTTTTCTATGTATGACCCATCAGTGAAGACTTGGAGCCATTGATCTGCAGAATAGTTGACATTGATTGTCTCAAGGGCCAGTGAGCGCATTTGCTCTGGAGGAGTGTTTGATTTCCTGAAGAAGTCGAGCAGTTGGGTGCCAATGGGTTCATGGGGAGAGAGAGGCTTTTTGGTTTGTCATCGATTTGTAATTCTTTCTTCAGTTCTATGACTTTCTGTATTAGACCAGATTGCGTTTTCAGATGTCTTGGTCTTTTCTCAAAGGTGCTGAAGAACTTATCCATGGGAATGCGCAGAAGCTTTTCATACAGGATCAAGATCTTCTCTTTGATAAGGGAACATATTTTGGTGCTTCCTGTAACTAGGAGCATTGCATCAATGGGTGTTGATTTTATCCCTCCAGTAAATAGACGTAATATCTGGTTGTGTGCCTTCTCGAGTGGTTTGAGAGTCATCACTGTGGCTGTAATGAGTGGCTCACAGCAATACAACATTTTTGGCTGAATAAATATCTTGTAAGTGGTGTTGAGAGTTGAGCGTGCACAGCCCCATACCACCAAGACGCTTCAGTACATTCAGTCTAATGGAGACGCGTTCTGCTATTTTATCAATGTGACCTTTCCACGTTAGCTTCGTGTCAAAAGTCATTCCGAGATATGTGAAGACATTGGTTTTTTCAATGGTAGCATCCTTGTACATTAGAAGCGGGTTTATGCTATGATGGGCCAAAGAAAAAGTTTGGAATGCAGTTTTTGCAGTGTTGATTACCATTCCATTGTTGTCGCACCAGTTTGCTAGTAGTTTAAGTGCACAATTTAGGCACTTTCTGTCCTCTCCTGAGCGTTTTTCTTAGGGGCGGAATACCATAGTACCAGATCATCTGCGTAAAGTAAGCACTTGATGCCCGTGACTGGCTGTACCAATTCGGCTATGTCACTGATGAAGACATTGAAAAGAGTGCAACTTGTGGCAGCTCCCTGTGGAAGGCCTGTTTGTAAAAGATTGGATTTTGATAGGGCATTTCCATATCTGACTTTACATGATCTTTGTCCAATGAATGCTTTTATCCAATTTAGCACGTAATGCTTAATACCAATCTTTGCCAATTTTAGAATTAGCTTCTCTTTCCACACTAAGTCATATGCTGATTTGAAATTGACGAAAACAGCCGTAAGGGTATTTCTTGCATCAAGGGCATCTTTGATGTGTTGGGAGAAAGTGGCTACTTGTTGGTTCGTTGATCTTGGTGGCCGAAAACCTGCTTGTTCACTCCTAAGAATATTGTTGGTCTCAAGGAACCAGGTCAGCCTCCTGTTAACCATTCTTTCCATAAGTTTAGCCAGCACGCTCGTGTGGGAGATAGGCCTATATTGTCAAAGTTGCTAGGGTCGTTGCCCTTTTCCTATATTGTCAAAGTTGCTAGGGTCGTTGCCCTTTTTAGTACTGGTATTACTATGGCAACTTTCCATTGGTTATGTACGAGACTGGTCTCCCAGATTTCGTTGAAAGGCGTCATCATGGTTTGCTTGGCCTTTGGCCCTATTCTAATTAGAAATTCCGGATGAAGACCGTCTTCGTCAGGAGACTTTTTGCACTTTAGCTGTTTCATCGCAGCATTAAGTTCGCAAGGTCGGAATGGTTCAGTAAGTACATCAGCATTAAGTTCCAAGGTCTGAATGGTTCAGTAAGTACATTATTTGGTGTCCAAGGTCGGAATGGTTCAGTAAGTACGTTATTTGGTGTTGTCAAGGTGCACTTGAGCTGTTTTATCGCAGCATTAAGTTTGCAAAGTTGCAATGGTTCAGTAAGTACATTATTTGGTGTTGCGTCTTCCTTAATTGCACCACATCATTTGGTGTTGCGTCTTCCTTAATTTCACCAAACTTTTGTATCTTTAAATCTCTTGAAGATTTTCTGACAAAAGGGCTTTTCTTTTGCTTGTGAGAATGCCTCGCAAAGGCGTTAGCTATTTCGGTGTCGGTGGTAAGCAATTTGCTGTTTAAATTCGGAGTCGGTGGTAAGCAGTTTGTTTTTTAAACGTATTTGTTATGGGAATAGAACCTCGCAAAGCAGTTAGCTATTTCGTTAGGTAAGCAATTTGCTGTTTAAGCGTATTGGTTCTTTTTTGTGGGCAATTTGATTTTAAGCATATTGATTCTTTCTTGGGTCTTACAATTTGTTGTTTAAGCGTATCGGTTCTTTCTTGGGTCTTTCTCTGTTGTTTTGCAGGTTTCTCAGAAATTTGAAAGTGCGTTTTGCTTGTAAGATGGCTTACCTTAGGACAGCTGATTGTCGTCTCCAGGCATGTACGTCTACCGTTCTTCCAGTCTGATCAGCAGTGTTGCAAAGGGCGTCTCTGATCAGCAGTGTTGCGAAGGGCGTCCCGCTTTCTTTTAGCTTCCTCAAGGTGTTTGGACCAAAACACTCGATAGTGTTTATGTGTTTAGACCAAAACACTCGATAGTGTTTAGTCTTGCCTATGGGTGTTCAGACCAGAACACTCGATAGTGTTTACTCTTGCCTCTGGGAATAGTTTTCCTTGGACATCTAATCATAACATTCGTGATATCATTGCAAAGTTTTTCAGGGTGTTGGTTGAAGTTGAGGGGACTTGTGTGAAGTT